CATAGGGAAAGAATTTGTGTTTTCAAACTTGGAGAAATCCAGTCCAGGTTTAACTTCACTTCTGTAGTTTCAAAGAACACACTGATACCATTCCCCTGTTTTTTTCTTAGCTCCTCACCACAAAAGGAAGAATTGGAAGGAGTTATATAAAAAGAGAGGAAGACACAGAAAATGGGAAAGTAAGAAAAAGATGAAAAAAGGAAGAGAAATACAGGAAAAATGAGGGAGATGGATGGTAAAGACTCAACTAACATTAGGGAGAATTTTCTGCAAAAAGCTTAACATGGGCTGCTTGATGGAAAGAGAATTAAAGTGATCATGTGGGAGGAGTGCCCCCAATAAACTTTCCTATTTTATCTTTACAACTAAAGATACTCAAATATTAACACCTAACTTTCATGACTTAAGGAAACACAAGAAGTTGTGCAGCTAGACAACATGTGATTCATTCTGGCCCATTTAGGAAGTAATTTACCTCTTAACTGAGATATGCTTACCTCCCCCCATATTTAAAATATTTTACAAATGATAACCCAGAGACATATATCCACTAACACTATTTTTAAAATCAAGAGACAGGGATAAGAAAACTGACAAAGTTAACTTTTAAAATATGAAACAGTTTTTTCTGGAGGATGCCTAATAATCTACCATTTTTAAAATAACAACATGAGGAGATTTCTATTTATTGTTAGAGCAGAAGAAATTTAAATTTGTGATTTGAGGCCCAACTGCTTTTTTTTTCTTAACTGAAGCAAAGCTTGGAACCCAGAGCTGTCTCAATAACCTGGGGTCTGTAATGACCAACACAGGCAGTGTCCTCTGGCCTCCTACGTATGCATAACCTTAAAGGCAATGCTCTCCACAAACACTGGTCCCTGTGTAAGATCTGGCCTGATATGTTACAACGACCATGGCGCTCTAGCTTCCTACGGTAGAAACTGTAACTGTAAACACTGGATGAAAAATAATATCTGAACTATGAATATATACAACAGGTTTTAGTTATTTAAATAACTAATGATCTCAGGTAACTGTCAGGCTTTTGAGTCAATATTCATTTCAGCTGTGTTAGCTACTTAAAATCTGGAACCTTAGACTATTTCTAACAGAGAATGAAACCATGGAAGGTAGGTAGGCTTATGACAGACTTTCAGACCTAAAGCTTATAGTTGGGCAATTTAACCACAAAGAGCATGATGAATAACAATTATTAGAAAGGTAGGTAGAAAGGATTTACTTCTAATCTCCTATGACATTGAAATGTATTTTAAGCTGTACATTTAGTTTTCATATCTTCAATAGTTTATCTGGAACTTCGCAACAGTCCTCTCTCCACCCTTTTTGGTAAGAATTCCAAAGTTAGGATGTTTTGAAGAACCTCTTACCCTTTTCTGCTTATCTGATATATATAAGTATTATTTAATTATCAAATAAATCTCATTTTCCAGTTTTCTCAGGTGCTTTGTTTTAAATAAAAATCTTGTAGACTGACTGTTACTTACAGTGTTGTAAAGCTTATCAAACTCCGCATACCTTCTGAAGACAAACCACTCACTCCTGCCCACTGAAACCAGAACTTTATAAACCTATGGAAATAAAAAATAACAAAATTTGATCACAAAAAAAAGCATGTTAGCTATTTACATATGCAAATAACCTGCTTTCATACTCATGAAACTGATATTAGACATTACTATTTATATGTGATTCTCCAAGATACAGAAGTATACCAACTGAAACACTTATTTTATCTTGTTGAAAAGTGTTTTATTTTTAAAATGTTATGAAATATTTCCATAGTTTTCAGAGAATAACACAATGAATACCCATGTACTCATTATTTAGATACTCTGAATTCTAACCTTTGGCCATTCTTGTTTCAGATTTTCTTCCCCCCAAATAAAACATTATAGTTTCAACGGATGCCATTCTGCTCTCTTCTTCCCCAGCAGTAACCACTGCCATGAAATGATAAGGTATTTTCAAAAGGAACGCCTGGGACACAGTAAACACTAAATTGTGAATTATCCTCCTTTCAGGGCATCTTTTACACAGTAGTTTTCAAACTAAGAATTTATCCTCAGATTTCCTACTACCATCTTAACCTGTGTTTCATCTTTTCATATATACATCATTTCACATAACCATAGTCAACAACCCTATAAGGAAATAAGCAGAATAAATATTACAACCCCCATTACAGATGAGGAAATGATGGCCCCCCAAAGTTAAGTAACTTGCCCAAGTTCACAGACTCGTGAGACGAAAATCTAAATCTTCTAACCCTCCATGCACTAGAACAAGTATCAAATCAACAGTTATAATATAGAATTAACTCTCATAATTCATCCCACAGCTACTCTCAGAATATAATTCAACATACCAATGTACAGAAAACAATCTGGAACCCCAAAGATCTTTTATACTTTCTAAAGAGAAAAATAACAAGTATCCAGGTATATGAGGAAAGGTTCACTGATGTATGGCTTGGGTTATCAATCTCACTATTTTACAGTGAAGATTAGGGGAAAGAGATATTTACAATACAATTGTCCACAGTCTGTTAGATAACAGAGTAAACCAGGTTTATTTTAGAAGACGGGCATACAAATATGTATAAAATATCCTTTCCCACAAAAGACTGGAAAGCTACACTCACCAGTTCATAGTTAGATAATACTGTGAAGAAAGATCTCCCTGATACTGCATATGATTATAATGTAGGAATTCTGCAGTATTGTTGAAGATATGGTCACATTAACAGGCCCCTAATACGAGGGGCCCCAGAACCTAAAGCCATACTCCCCTGTGAGAAAGGGATCAGGTCTCACCTGGAAAGTGAAGCAAAGTCATTGTATCAGTTACCTGGATAAGTGATGAATCACTTAAGCAGAGAGAAAAAGAGCATCCAGGCACCCTACGTGAGCTACAGGGGTAAGAGGATTTTCTGGTGTTAACTAAGAGGACATCAAGTTGTCCTAAAGGAAGCTACTGGGTGTTAAGATATCAGAATCGTTTATAAGATGACACTGCTCCCATGGGAGAGAGTGCAGAAGTAGAGGAAAAAGAACCTAGTCTGGGTGCTGACAAAAGTTGAGCCATGTTTTTAGGTGGAGACTACAGATTTATCTCCTACAGCATTCAGGATCAGATAGGCCTGGAAGCAGGCCTGCTACCAAAGGATCAGATACCTAGGTTTATATGATTATGAGATTCTTGAACAAACAACACTGTTTGTGCTGACTTCCCAGTGGGATAAGGTGGCTTCCCATAGATACTCAAGTACAACCAAGATGAGAATCCAAACCTAGGTTCCAGGCCAAAGCAGTTCTGCTGCAACTCTATTTACAGGAGCTTAAGATAAAGCCCTGTGAAGTTATTAATTAGCAGGATGATTTATGAACAAGGGCTTATTAAGTAAGTTCTAGTAAAATACCAACAGGCAAAAACAAAACCTCTTCAAATTTTAAAAAACACTCTCATTTGCAAAAAATGCACAAAATTTCACAGAAACAGTACAATAATAACAGTACAATAAATCTTATTAAGTTTTAAAAAAAATATTTCCTTATTGCCTGTCTTGCCCCACCAGAATGTAAGTTCTTTGAGAGCAAGGGCTGTATCATTCTTGCTACCCACCGTATTCCCAGTGCCTAGAACAGCCCTGGCATAAGACAAGAAACTCAAGGACAATTTGTTGAGTGGATAAATGAAAGTATAATTTAGACTTGGTTTAAGTCAAGACATCCTAGAACACAGTGCATTTCTCTGTAAAGTCATTTAAAAAGACACACGAGGGCTTCCCTGGTGGCACAGTGGTTGAAACCCTCCCTGCCAATGCAGGGGACACGGGTTCGAGCCCTGGTCTGGGAAGATCCCACATGCTGCGGAGCAACTAGGCCCGTGAGCCACAACTACTGAGCCTGCGCATCTGGAGCCTGTGCTCCGCAACAAGAGAGGCCGCGATAGTGAGAGGCCCGCGCACCGTGATGAAGAGTGGCCCCCGCTCGCTGCAACTAGAGAAAGCCCTCGCACAGAAACAAAGACCCAACACAGCAAAAATAAATAA